CCTGAGGAGAGCTGAGCTCTTGGGGGGCGGTCTCCCTGGTCTCTGAGGTGAATGGAGTTCTGGGGCGTCTCCCCGGGACTCTGAGGTGTATTTAGTTCCCAAGGGAGTAGGGGCCCCTCCCCGGGAAGCGCGGCACACCCGGGGCGTTGTCAGGTGGCGCAGGCAGTGCGGAGGCGGCTCCAGGCTGGGCTGCCTCACTCGGCCGCCGGGCAGAATCCGGTAACGCGCCTGGGTCCGGACCCGCCTCAGAAACCGACCTGCTCCCTCGGAGCCTGCAGCGATCCCAGCCTCCCGCGCGGCCGCCCCGCCCCCACGCGCCCCGCCCCCTTTCTGGAACCCTCCGGGCTCCGCCCTCCCGCCGAACCCTCCCAGCCGCGTCCCGCCTCCTGGTCTCCTGGCCTCCAGCCGCCCGCCAGTGCCCAGACGTTGGCAGGGGCACTTTGGGGCTCCAGTTGAAAATATTTCCCACAGATATCTGCACACCCTGGCTCGGTCCACGCTCCCCTCAGGAAAGTCACGGGGAACGTTCTAGAAGCCCGCGGTCCTGGCTTCTGGAACGGGGCAGCGACCACCCTCGGCCGCCTGTGGGCACCGACCAGGCCCGCCTTGCCCTCGAGGCCCGCGTGCCCCCGCCCGGTGGTCCTGCCCACCGTCGCCGCCGGGGCCCCCGGGAGCCCCTGCGCGCAGGCGCGACGCGCCGCCTCCGGGGCCCGAACCCGCCGCAGCCCGCGCTCCCGCGATGTTGCCTTCAGGCTGCGTGTGGCCGGAGAGCCGGCTTCGCCCGCGCACCTCCCGCAGGGCGGCGTGTCTCTTGTCGACGGAAACGGAGGGATGCATTTCTGAAAGGCTTTATTTGGAGGAAATCGTTGCCCCTGGGGGTGTGGGGGCAGGCAGGCCGGCCGCCTGCGGAGAGAAGGCTTTCTGTAATTCGCAGGGGCTCGCGCCTGTCATCCCAGCACTTTGGCAGGGGGAGGCGAGCAGATCGCTTGAGGTCAGGAGTTCGAGACCAGCATGGCCAACATGGTGAAACCCCATCTGTACTGAAAATACGAACGTTAGCCAGGTGTGGTGGCGCACGCCTAATAGTCCCAGATACTCGGGAGGCTGAGGCAGGAGAATCGCCTGGACCTGGGAGGCGGAGGTTGCAGTGAGCCCAGATCGTACCTTTGCGTTCCAGCCTGTATCGCATTGGAACTTCGTCTCAAAGACAAAGAAACTTTGTCTCTGTTTTATGAAGAAGAGGAGTACACATTGCTGCCTGAGTTTCACTGGCACTGGTAAGATTTGGGGAGCTGGCAAGCTCGGGTTGATGGGTGGCGGCAGTGGGTACACCGAGGCTTACAGGTGCAGCAGGTGGTCTCAGTGGCCGTCCGATAAAGCTGGTTTCAGGTGACCGCAGGCAGTTTGAGCAGCCAGGCCTCAGAGCATTACATTCTTGGAGCGATGTTTTCTTTTCTTTTTTTTTTTTTGTGACGAAGTTGTTTCACTCATGTTACCCAGGCTGGAGTGCAATGGCACGATCTCGGCTCACCGCAACCTCCGCTTCCTGGGTTCAAGCAATTCTCCTGCCTCAGCCTCCCGAGTAGCTGGGACTACAGGCACGCGCCACCATGCCCAGCTAATTTTTGTCTTTTTAGTAGAGACGGGGTTTCACCATGTTGACCAGGATGGTCTCGATCTCTTGACCTTGTGATCCACCCGTCTCGGCCTCCCAAAGTGCTGGGATTATAGGCGTGAGCTGGAGCGATGTTTTCTACCCTGAGTGCCGGGTGGTCTCCCCACCCGCTCTCTGCTTTACTTGGGTGTGACAAGGATGGCCCAAGTTGTATGGTCAGCTTTCACACGAATCCTCAGCTTGGACAGGTTTCCCTTTCTAGGCTTTGACTTTCCCCTTCAACCTCATCCCACACGCCTGTTCCACCCGGGCCACTGGCTTATGATGGAGACCCATGGTGTGACTGCGGCAGGCTCCTTCTAGGGGCACTTTGTCTTCTGGGGCCTGCCACACTGTGGGGGTTCTAGTTGGCCTTCTCTGACTCCCCAGGGAGGGAGCACTTGGAGGCGCTTCCATGGGAAAACTGGCTTGATCTTTAGGGTTCCTGGAGAGTCTGCACTACCTCGGTCCCCTGTGAGCCTGAGACAGCACTCTGGTTTGCATTCCCTGCCGGAGTCCCTGGCTTTCAGCTGGTGCCCAAACTGTATCTGCAATGCCAATGGCTCCCCTGGGAAGGGCTCGCCCCTCTTTGGAATTTCAGTTCACGTGGGCCTTGGGCTTCCACATCTGTCCAAGGGCCTTTCAAATGTGATGTTTAACTCTGTGCATGGATTTGCCTGGTTGTCATATTCTGAGTAGCCACAGCCTACTGCATCCCATGTAGAAGTGGAAGTGACATGCTTTTTCCCCCGACATTTTAAGCCTGTGTGTTTACATTTGTATCCAGTCACTACTCTATGGGAATTCCTTGGTGGTCTAATTTGGAGATTCTGTTTCTTCTGCCTTTACTCCTGGGGGTTAATCATTCTTGTGCCTCTGTCGCACCATTTGTATTTGTCATTAGTCAACCAGAGGCTGAGGGTCTGAGTGGAGGATATGTCCCCTCCAGTGATGGTTTCTGTTGGCTTCCCAGGATGAGGATGACTCATGACCACTTGCAAGTGGCTTTTCTGCCTGAGGTTTATGATTACACAGTCACGTAGGTTCTAACCCAGGCCGACTAATGATTCCATGGGTTTATTCCCTGCCTAGTATTGGAGGGCTAAAAATCCCTGGATGCCTGATCTAAGGGGCCTAAGGCAGGATGTCTTTATTTCCCAGGTGAGAAGATGGGAGGGGTTGTCAGCATAATCTTTATGTGGAATTGTGGTAACCTAGAAGACACAAACTTCACCGAGAAGTGAAACAAGCAAGGGCCAAAGATTACTAATAATGAGATAAATATCAAAGGTCCTAGGAAGGGCAAAAACCAAGTGAGAGTTAGGAGGTTGCTTTTTTCTTTCTCTCTCTCTCTCTTTTTTTTTTTTTTTTTGATGGACTGTGGAGTGCAATGGCATGATCTCAGCTCACCGCAACATCTGCAGGAAGGCGCTTTTAATAGTTGCCCAGATATAGTTGGAATCACAGCCTTATTTATATTTATGCAGTTGGGCACTCATATATTTCACAGGCATCTTCTTCTGTTTGACCTGAGGTGCGTATATAAGTGCAGCAGGTTTCATTGATTATAGCCCATACTCCTTGTTCATCCAGTAAGTATAAAACTCTCATGCTAATCTATCGTCCATTATTATATCTGCAAAGGAAGCAAGGGAGAGTGTAATGTATCTAAATGTCTCCTGTTTTATGAGACGGTGTGTGGAATGAAGAAGCAAAGCTTTGAAGACTTGCCTCGTGATAGGCAAATTTTCCCCATGGGGCCAATAAGCCAATAGCGGTCTCAACCCCAGTCTCAATTGCCTGCTTAGCTCTCAGGTAAGCGATGTTATATAATTGTATACTCTAGGGCTTTGCCTGTCTTACCGTATGTACATTGACCCCTGAACCAAATGTTATCAATACACTGGTAACCATCGGGTTCATGATCCCAAATGAGAGGCAAGTCATTTATACACTAACTGAATAGGTGACCACATGGCCATAGGTATCCCCTGGGGTGCAAACCTGTATGGGGTGGGAGTTGTGAAGGAGGCTGAGGAGGAGGCACTTAGGGTATTAGTTGTCTGTTTACTTCCCGAACGACAGCTTTAGATATTCTAAGGGTTCATAAGTGCAGGCCATGGTGTCTTTCTCAGGTGCCTGTGGGGACTCATATGAAACAGGCTTAATCTTGGACAGGTGTACCCAGCTAATGAGTCCTTGAAGTTTAACCGCAATCAAGATGCTTAACAATACCTGATGAGGCCCTCCATTTTGGATGTAATTGATTCTCAGGGTGTAGGATACAGCAAATTCCTTTTCAAAGTTTAGCTTGTTAACTTCCTCTAAAATTCAAGAGGCAGAAAAGTTAAGTACAATGAGTTCCGAGTTCCTCTTCATTTTTTTTTAATATTGAGATTTTATTGTATTTACTTATTATTTTTTACCTTTAATCCATCTTGGATTACAGATTTTATTTATTTTTTTCTGACAATTATGCTTTATTGGATTTTTGTCTTTTTTTTTTAATGTATTTATTATACTTTAAGTTCTGGGGCACATGTGCAGATCGTGCAGGTTTGTTACATAGGTATACCCATGCCATGGTGGTGGTTTACTGCATCCATTGCCCCGTCATCTACATTAGGTATTTCTCCTAATGCTATCCCTCCCCAAGCCTCCCACCTCCTGACATTCCTCCCCTAGCCCCCCACCCCCCAGGCCCTTGTGTGTGATATTCCCCTCCCTGTGTCTGCATGTTCACATTGTTCAGCACCCACTTCTAAGTGAGAACATGCAGTGTTTGGTTTTCTGTTCTTCTGTCAGTTTGCTGAGAATAGTGGTTTCCAGTTTCATCCATGTCCTTGCAAAGGACATGACTGAGTTCCTCTTTAAAGATCCAGGATGTCAGTATGTTCTGCTTCCCTGTTCTTTGTTTTCCATTTTAAAGTTTAACTTACTCGTTCTTTATGCCTCCTTGCCTCTAGTTTCAGTAAACAACCCCCTCCTAGAGTGTATCACCTGGCCTGTCCTTAGGCATCCGTAGGCATCCTTAGTCACCTGTTTTATAACCGTCCTTCCTGCTGAAACTACTCACCTTGCCACTCTGGCTCATACCCTTGCTCTCTTTAAAATAGCCAACTGGAATTAGCTTAGACTGTGTGGTCCAACCCTAGCCAACAGGGAATAGACACAGCAGTAGGGACCAGCTGCGTTAGGAACAAGACCCCCTGCCCCTCCCTTGTCCTGTGTGCTCTCGCCATTGCTCCATCCAGGAGACACACCCTTCTATAGAAGTAAATTGCCTTGCTGAGAAAATTTTTGCCCAAGTGCTATTTTCACTTTGTGGCACCAAGCATTTACTTCTAACAAGGGGATCCTTCTTCCCAAGTGTTTAATAAGATGAAGCCTCCTGGTTGAACAGAAGAGCTACAAACATTCATGGAGGTGGTCCTGATGCAAACGCATTTAAAAAACATCTGTAACGTACAACTCTGTCTCCCCTGGGGTGCAGAGTTCATCCCTGCCTGGCAGGGTCTTAGACCCAGTCTGTTCTGTCAGTCTTACGGCCCCTATTTTAATAATCAATGCTGGTCATCTGTGCCTGAATTCCAAGGTGGAGGACAGTCTGTTCTGTCAGTCTTACGAC